AAAATAATTCTAACCGAAAAACAGCTAATCATGTTGTGCTATGTAAATGCTGAATCGCGTTTAAGGTAAGGGATCTGTTTCTGAGGTATATCCACATATTTTATTTTACAAAAGAAAATAATTCGGTGTATTGCTGGTATTTCTCGTTGTAGAGAATACTATAAAAATTCCATATCAAGCTGCAAATTTTCTTGATGTTGTTCAATAATTAACTTTAAATATCTTCATGTTTTTGTTGTACAGTGCTCTTTAATTTATTAATTTTTCCCAGCAATTTAGTAAATTCCTACTTTTTGTCGTTTACGATTTTTGTTCACAAATATTAGTACAATAAATAAGAACACCTTCTAGTATTTATCCTAGTTTAGTTGCGCAGCTTTTATGAAATAAATTCAAATAGTTTATACAAAAAAATATTATTTGCATCTGTCCTACATCATTTTATTTATTTTCTAAAGCTTTTGAATCCATTTTTCAGAATTTTTAATTATTTCAGTTTAAAAGTATTCTCCCGATCTATAATTCAGAATTAACGATATTTGTTGTATATAGTAACCCTTTATGTTATCTGATAATAAATATGTATTTCTTATAAACATTTGTTTAAAATTGTCTACAATCTATTATGGACCATATTATTTATAAAATCATAGTACTTAAAAATCGTTGGATGCTTTGTCCTATTATAAGCAAATATTTTGGTTTACACAATTTTCCACACTATTTTTTTATAATTTTTAATATTCTAAGAGCTCATGGCCGTCTATATCAAGTATGTGATTTCATATAATCCGGGCAAATGAAATAAAGGAATTTAATATAATTCCTATTAACACAACAAACAAAATCTTAAAATTTCAAAACTTTCTCTATTTCTCGAGTATTCTGACGATTAGACAACACTGCACGGTCGTGACTTCATAAATGATCTATGAGGTGCATCGTTATTTGTATTAAAAATACTAAAACAAACCCATCCCAGTTCAATCATCTCTAGTATAATTTGCTCGAAGTTCATGAAAGGTTTGAGAGAAAGAATTATAGTTTTTGCTCATGAAAAATTCGAGTTAATTCGACAAATACACAGATAGTTCATAAAAAAATCTCTTCATGAATTTTTAGTAATTTTCAAGTTTCAAAGCGCATAAAATGTCTTTAACCTCATCCAACGTCGCTTAACATTCATGAACGAAACATTTTCTGTTCTCTGAACATATTATCGCGTGTTCCAGCCGATCGTGTTACAAGTTTTGACGAAATTTCGAAACTCGGATTTTATAAAAGAGTCGAGAAAGAGTGAATTTCGACCGCGAGCTTTAGCGATTGAAGCGAAAACTTTCAACGGAAACCAGAAACTAATCCAAAACTAAACTCACTCGATGACAAGCAGGACAAGGGAAGTAACGAGTCTCTGGAGCAAGAGACCGTCTAATATATGAACGCTTTAATTAGTCAAGTAACATGTAGTTCTAGTTAGTGAGCAGTGGCTGTTTTACTTGGGGGGGCGAAGGAAATTTAACTGTTTATCAATAGACTGAAGGAGAGTACAAATACATGATGAGAGATAAAATATAAAGTATTTGGGACGTGTTCCAAATCGAATTAACAGCCACACAGCATTATGAAAAAGAAATAATATATCAACATGAAACAGGCAAAAAATTGCCATCTACTCTGACAGCCAAACAGCTCTAAAGATAATTCTCTTATTAGAAATCAAAGTACAACTGATTAAAAACTGCTAAAAAGACCTGGACCCGTATTCTGTAACTCAAGCGAGAGCTCGTGCATGAGTTCTCTCTCATTACGTTACGTTACTGCGCATGTCACCCTCCTAAAAATTATAAAATCCGTATTCTCTAAGGTAGGAGAGTGCTCACATACTCCTATGCGAGTACTCTACTGGGTAAAAGCAGGAGAGTAAGAGAATCGACTTGCGCACAATGTCTTTAGTCACAGAATAAAGATAAATGAAGGCCAAAATAAGAGCCAATAAAATGTTTGTGCTGTAGTAACCTCAAAAATCCAAGATTAATCAACGTGTTTTACAGGTTGTTGGATTATTGTTAAGTCAAAGAGTAAACGGGTTTAATTTTTTTTGAACAAGTGGTTTAGTTCACAGTACAGATTTAGTATTTATTTGTTGTTTGTTTTAAGAGTATAGTTAACACTTTAGTTTTTGTAGTTTTTAAAGTTAACTGTTTATTAGTTATTTAAAATGGATGATTAAGATTTTCTGATGCAAATGTTATTAGACAATGTTCAAGATGCGGAAGAACAGGCTGCAGAGGACATACCTCGATTATATTTCGAGCATGAAGACCCTTTCTTGGTTTTGTCAGACCGTAATTTTTTAAAAATTTTCGTCTCAATAAAGAAATTGTTACAGCTCTTTTGGATGAATTAACGGCATTTTTGCAAGCTCCCCAAAGAACATCTGGTCTAAGCTGTAAAACAAAGGTAAAAACATAAATTTTACTGCATCTTATCATGTTTTTAGATAAGTAAGCAAAAAATTTAGGTACCTACCTACGGAATAACAGTGAGTTAGGTGTTTATATATCTGTACATTATATGCTTCCAAGTGACAAGAAAAAATTATTTTCAGTTGTTGGTGACTATTATTTTTTGGCCAAGGCAGCTATCAAGCTATGACAGGTTCAAATTTTTTTTTGCGGAATGAGCCAAAGCAGCATTAGTAGGTGCATTGAAGAGGTCACCAATGCTTTGAATATGCCTGAAATCTTGAGTAGATGGATCCGTTTTCCAGGAAATATGGAAGAGCTAACGCAGCGCAGAGCAAGGTAAAAACAAATGGAACTTGTGATGATTTTAAGAAGTTTTCACTTAAATTGCCTTTTTTTAGTTATTTTAATTCTACTGGCATTCCTGGGGGAATTGGGATCATTGATTGCACCCATGTAGCAATTGTGCCACCACTTGAAGATGAACATATACATGTTAATAGGAAGGGCTACTATTCCTTAAATGTACAACTGGTAAACTATTCTACATTTTCGCTTCTTTTTTTTTAATGCTATTATTTCAGGTATGTGACGAACACTTGCATATTATGAATGTGAATGCCAATTTTCCAGGCAGTACACATGATGCTTTTATTTGGGGGCAATTAAATATATCAAATGTTCTAGAAAGGGTGTATCGTCGAGAACCCCAAAACAACTTTTTTTTGCTGGCTGATTCAGGTAAAGAAACCTAATTAACAAATAATTTTGGTCATGAGCTTTACTATTATTTCTTACAGGCTATCCTCTGCGGCCTTGGTTGCTGACACCTTTAAGAGATCCTGCTCCGGGTGCAGAGGAGCAATTTAATAATGATTTTATGACCGTGAGGAGCACTGATGAAAGATGTAATGGTGTGTTGAAAAACAGGTTTCGATGTCTTCTAAAACATAGGGTTCTACACTACCAACCGATAAAAGCTGCCAAAATTACTATAGCGTGTTGTGTGCTACATAATATTTGCACACAAAACAGAATTTCAGATCCAGACAGGCATCTCGAATTTTTGAATGCAGATCTTGGCATAATTGAACACAACGAGATTCCAGCAGTGAATAATTTAGCAGCACAACATGACTTAGAAGCTGGCAGATAGGCAATTAATAATTGGAAGACATTACAATAAAAATAATTTAAAAACTAGTGGTGTGTTAGCAGTAGTATTAGTTTAGATGTATTGTTTTTTATTTTTTATTTTTTTATTTTAAATTTGAGAAAATATCCTCTTCAACGTATGCTAATGAGTTTTACAGGAGAAAGTTACTTATTCTAATAAGTATTGATATATTATGCAAAATATGTTATAGATGTGTTTAATAATTTTTAGATTTAATACTACTTAAAATAATTCCTTTTAACTACACCATATTATTTTCATAAAAACAAATTTAAAAAAATATGTAAATAGTAAATATTTTACCAACTAGTTATGTATATTTTATACCCTTTTGTTGAGGCCTTTCAAAAAATTTAGCTAAGAAAACTGCAAAATTAGCAGAGGACTGCACACAAGTAACTGTGCAACCAAAAATAATTGAAATCTCACATAAATAAAGTTTAAAAACTAATATTTATGATTTTTACCACCCAATAACCTATATAATTAGATAAATGAAACTAAGTATTCGATGGAAAACAATATATAATATCTATCTATATCTAAATATATATTGTAATTCCTAATGATTTGTACACAAAGCCATGGCAGAATCCTTGGGTCAAAATATCACAATTGGCCAAATATAACCTTAGTAAAATGTTTATAATTTACAATATGCAGGGTGATAAAAGCTAAAATGATTTATTAATTAATTTCAATACCGGGTTCACCAGCCATAAATGTCATCTTTGTTACCTGATCATCCTATATATCGTTAATTATCAACATTTTGGTAAGATCACATTTAGCCCATTGTCATATATTGTACATATCATTATAAATCACCATTTAAAAAATCTCAAAAAGGGCTAACAACATAAAATATTAATAAAAAAAAAATGAACACAAAATTCTTATAAAAAAAATCTCACAAAAAAGGTTATCAAAATAGTAACAGAAAAATGACTACCACAATCTTAAACGTAATACATCACAAAAAGGATATTAAAACAACAAAAATCCTAAAGCTTATTTATATACAGTGTGTCCACAGATCGGGTGGTCCATAGTGAAAAAGGACAAAAAAAAATTTAATTTTTGAGTCATTTTTTAGAGGAAGTTCAAAATTCAAATTTTGTACAAAATATCCTTTATAGACAAAAAAATTTGCATCGGAATCCTATCCATAAAACAATATCAAAAACATTACAAATTAACTTTTTAGGTGTTTCCACCATACATTTTGGTGCCTCAGCTGGGCCCTTAGTTTTCTCCCCTCTAAAAAATTTTTAATTTTATAATATGCTTCCTGCACACTAGTCCTCTCGTTAAAAGAGGCCAATTGTTTTTGGCTCAAGGCTACAGATGTTTGCAGCCTAGATGTTTTTGTCATTTTTTTTTGGAGCCCCGCCTTTTTGTCTATGTGAAGTAGGAAATTTCAAACTATAGTTGTGTTGATCTTTCTGAAATAATAAGAAATTGTTAAAAACCTGGCTTCTATTTTTTTATTTGATTCGACAGTAATACCTTATCATTTTGTTCCCCCGTTTTACTAGGTTGGTCTAAAACCTGTTTTATGGTATTGTCTACTACCAAAACCTAAAACAAAAAAGTAGTATTTTATTAAAAGTTGTTTTAAGAAACCTGAAAACCTGTTATCTTTTGGAGTTTTTCAATTTTGGGTGGAACATCATTATCATTGAAACTATTCTCAGGAGGTGCATTCTAAAACAGTTAATTAAAACTAGTTTTTTTTCTAGTAAGAACAGGACTCAATTAAAACGAAACTACTTGTTGAGTCGTAAAAAGTACTTACTTCATCTATGTCATCAAATGAAAACTGAAGTGGTGTTTCTCCACCTCCTAAACCCTCTATTTGAACAGGGTTCATCATTCCTAATACCTTCATTTCCATGTCATCAAGATTTTGGGAGCAGGATGGGTCCCCTCCCGTCATATTAAGGTGTCGATTTATTGCGACTTTTTTTGCCTTTGTTTTTTTTTTCAAATCTTGCCATGTCTGTAATGATAGAAAAAACAAAATTTAACCGCATCTTATTGTAAAATAATAAAAAAACAAAATATACTTACTTTCCTCCATTTCTTCCAGTCTTTGGTTTGTCCATTTGGGACGCTATTTAACAGGGAAGTTACTTCTTCCCAAAGTTGCTGATCTGTTTTTACCGTAAAATTTGCCATTACGTAACTCTTCATGATCGTTCATGAACTCTATTAAAATTGTTTTTTGTGCCTAACACAACATTATCTATTTTCTCTGAATTATTGTCTTTTTTTAATATAATAAATAACTATATCATAATCTATAAAAAGCCGAAATAAACATAATACCAACAGTCTCAAAATATTTCTTCGTTTCTTATTCTCATATAATCTAAAGTACATTTAAACTACTAAATAATAGGTCAAAGTTAGCCGTTTCATTTGGCAACTCTGAGCAAAATGTAGTGGAGTCGCCGATCCATCGTGAATACGGTTTTAAAAATTATGTAAGTGAGGAGTGAGCGAGTACTCATACCAATGAGTAGTCGTGCACGAGCTCTCGCTTGAGTTACAGAATAGGTCCCCAGACCATTGAAACGAAGTAACCTTGGCCTATGTACCAGGCCACGAAAGATATAAGGGCAATGGAGTCTCAGAAATGGTCATAACAATTCCCAAATCTTTCTGTGTAGTTGCTAAGGCATTTTGTAAGACAATAATCAAAAAATGGTTTAAAAAAGAGTCTCAGGAATAATAGCACAACCATTCAGGACTGAGAAAGGCCAAAAAGTTCATCAAGAAACCTTCAGTCAACTTTAAGAAATATTTACTAAGTTAAAGACGACAAATCGTCAGTTTAGCAGTTTTCTCAATGGACACATGGGTGTCATCAATCCAATAGAGAAAGTGACTTTTGCCAGTTCTGTGAAAAACAAGAAACGGAAACATAAATCCTCGTCTTCTGCCAGTGTGAAGGCCTGGCTTAGTTGACGTTCTAATACGATACAAAAAAAAGTCAAAAGCATATAACTACATACATTTTTTGCCACGTTTGTGATAACAATGTGAACTAATTTATTGTTCTCTTGTAAATATTCTTTTTTAATTTCTAATATTTTTTTAAATGCGTAATTTTAAGAAATGTTCTTTTATTATAAGTAGGTCTCTTTTCGAAAATTCTTACATTTCAAAATCAAATGAATATAAATTTTCTGCTGTTTAATTAGACTAGTAGAAATTAATTTCTCTGGAAAAATCTAAGGTGCGCCAATGAGCGCGTATTTCTATCTAGGAGCCCATTTACAGCCTCTGGACTAGACACTATTTGGTTCTGCCAAATTGAAAGAGGGAGTGTATTCAACAATCCAGTCTGTTTGTTGTACAGAAATCTCAAACCATTTGAGGATATTCAGTATTTATTCTAGTAGAGTAATTTGATAGAACAAAGATAACATCGATAATAATTATTAATAGTTACTGATTATATAAATATTGAGTTCTAATTATGCTTCGTGATCTTTGTTGCCAAGTATAAAAGAGACTGACATTTATTCGTTTGTTGATTTTTAAACTGCATAATAGGCATAATAAGTATTGTGCTATTTGTAACAAAACCGCTCTTGAAATGAATTATTTAAAGAACTAGGTGTCACAAGCTTAATTGTTAGTGAATTAAAAACTAATTTTTTGAAGATTTTAAAAACAGAGGTAATCTAAAATTAGTCTGTGCAAAAGGGATCTATTTTTAAAAAAAATATTGATATTGGTACTATTACATAGAGAGTAACGTGTACTACAATATGACCGTAAAATCCTAAAAAATTAACACAATTTACGTAGACTTTAAACATTTGAAAGACCATTGGGGTTTACGGCCAAAAAAAAATATAAAAGTGCTCTTCTCCGTTTTATCTTAGAAAACCATTGTAAAAAATGTAATACTTCTTATATTTACACTACGAAATTAGCTAAACAAGCTTTAAAATCAAAAAAGTTACTATTTATGGAAGTTTCTAAAATGTGTACATATAACAGTGGCAGTTGGAAATTCAGTAAATACTGGTTAATGGCAATTACTTAATCCATTAGAAAATGTTATACATTAACGCATCTTTCTAGTAAATCTTGGAAAAAGTTAATAAAAACAATATTTACTGACAGTAGCTAGTAAAAGTTATTTCATTTTTGCAAACCTCTATTTAGTTAACGTTAACGAAAAACAAAAAATATTACACTTTTTGTAAAAAATTTAAATGTTGACTGTATCCCTTAGGTTCCGAGATATTTAAGGCCAATACTCAGACCGAGATAAGTGCTTAACACATTCGCTGCCGAGATAAAATTTCGAAATCTGACCTCACAGGCCAAAATAATCTTCACCAATGAAATACATTTTGAAAGCATTTCCCATATTTGGTTTTATTTAACACTTAACAGTTTTTAATATTTTTTGTTATTTGATTATTTTTTTGATGTATCGTAAATGATACACTCGCTAAACAATAATAATTTTGCTGCTCCAGGCCGAGTGTATCATTCATGGTACACTAGTACAATATGTGTTTCTTCTTTGTTTCAGATTAACGAGCTACAATGTCTTCTGCTTTTGATTTACGTGCACTTTTACACTGGTTTAGAGCCTACACTATCTATTCTGAAATAAGAAATATAAGGATAGCTTAGAGCTCTATCTTCATAGTTAGCGCAAAAGTAGACGTAAATCAATAAAATATTGTTACAGAACAGCAGATTTCAAGTGTTAGTGCTCAATAAAAAATAAAAGATAACAATAAAAATTACTATAAAGGCTATTGTAATAAAAACAAAATGAAAAAAGATTCTATAAAGACAGTAAACTTGAAAAAATGCATGAAATAGGGGAATACCCTAACACGGACATGAGTGACGAAGATCTGGATGATTCAGACGCTAATACAAATTACCAGGAAGAGTCCGAACCGTATGATAATGACAGTAATGATTCAATGGTACCAGTTAGTGCTTCGACTTCAAGACCCCAACCGAACAGAAATAGTCTTACCAGCCGATCTTTCATTAGCTCAGCCAAGTACAAGTAAAACTATAAACCGATCTCCATCACCTAAGCCGAAAAAACATAAAGGTAACAGCCGATCTCCGTCACCCCAACCAAATACCAGTTAGTCTCAACCGCCCCAACCTGGAAATATGCTTGACAACATTGTATGGACCGATCCCACTGAAAACCAAAAGATATTTCAGTTTACTGGATCCAGTGGAATAGATCCCACCATTAGTAGGATTATGGCGTTAGTAGACACGTTAAACTACTTCCTTTTGTTCTTGACTCCTCAAGTTTTAGATACAATGGTGAACGAGACAAATCTCTATGCAACACAAATTTTAAAAAGAAGTGACGCTGGTCCCAGTTCTCGTTTGCACGATTGGACACCCACATATCTTCAAGAAATGTTCAACTTCATCGGTTTACCAGGATGGATGAGTAAAAGTTCCCAAATTAGCTGATTATTGGCATCGAACCGAGTTATATTAATTCCCACTTCCAAGAAATACTATGTCGCAAAATAGATTTATATTGTTGCTCAGGTTCTAACACTTTGCCAATTATGATGATGCCCAACCGCCCAATCGTCTAAATAAAATAGAGAATATTCTTCAGTTGTTCATAGACAGTTTCCAAAGCACATACACACCAGCGCAAAAAATAGGTATTGATGAAACTATGATACCTTGGAGAGGGAGGTTAAGTTTCCGGCAATATATCGCCTCCAAAAGACATCGTTATGGGGTAAAAATTTATGCAAAAAAGTTATGCACAGATAAGGGATACACCTGGAACTTATCAGTTTATGTTGGCAACGATAGAACAGAAGAAACTGATGTATCAGCTTCTCAGAACGTGGTGATGAGATTGATTCGAGATCTTCTGGATAATGGTAGAACATTTTACAACTTCTATACAAGTGTGTCTTTGGCTCTGAACTGCTATCTCATAGCACACATGTTGTAGGCACTCTCCGCCGACACAGAAAATATATCCCCCGAGAAATAAAATCTGCGCAATTGGGAAAAGGTGAAATTATCGCTAAAGAGTCCAACGATGGAATTATCATACTAAAATGGAAGGATAAAAGGGACCTGATAATGCTAACTACCACTCACCTTGACTACGATGCCGGAAAATCGTCAGTTGATGTAAATAACCAATTATCATCCTATAATACTTCTCTGCGTAGGTCGATAAAGTGGTATAGAAAACTAATGATTTAAATTTTGTGGGGAACCAGTCTTGTGAATGCTCACTTTCTCTACTGCAAAAATTCGGTACATTCTTCGAAATTGACAATAACGCAATTCAGCGAGAGTGTTATACAATCTCTTCGCAATTCTGATCAAAAAGAAGCCAAGAGAAAAATCCATCATCTGGTTCAACATGGCCAGAATAAAAGAGGTCGGTGCAACGAATGCTATAAAAAATTTGAGAACAACGGTAAGAGTAGATGGCAAAAAGTCTGGCAGCACAGGTAAAAACCGTCTGCAATCAGTGCGACGGCAATCTATTTTTTTGCAGGGAATATTTCAACAGTTGCCATTACTTTTTACATTTAGTATTTTGTAGCTTTAGTTTTTATTTTTTCAATGATATAAGGACTAATATATTTTATACCTACACATTGGTCCTCATAACACCTTCCCAGGCCAAAACTTTGAGTTGATCTCTATGGTGCCAGGCCACAGAAACCCTAAGCTAATATCTTTCTTATGGGCGGTGTATTCAAATTAATACACCGCTGTTTTGAAGCAATAATAGCCGGTGTATCATTTAGGATACACCCGGCCTGTAGTAAGCACTACCCGGTGTATCGTAAATAAATGATACACACGGCAGCGAACGTGTTAACTAAATTTTAAAATAATTTTATGTACTCAGCCAATACTCAGGTCATTAAGTACTTAGTTAAGTGTAATTTGTAATAAATATTTCGTAACACAAAAATTATTTAAGTAAAACCCACTTAAATATTGTTTGTAAGAAAGTATAAATAAAGGACAGCGTTACTGCGGTTTTCAACTAGGAGGCGCCATAACTCTATTTGGGAAGCGCTAGCACAATAAAATAAAAATAAAACGATAATTATAAAAAAAAATTAATTCACAGAAAGAAAAGCAAAATGATTAGGTAGGCCTAAACTAATATACTATTTATTATAAATATGATTGTATCAGTAGGTACTGTCAAATGCCAAATGAAACTAATAATAAACCCCTCAGTACTAAACTAAAGG